CGTTGCTGTGATTTAATAAGGGAATAAAACTAAATTTTTTGATTAAATTTTCATAAAAAAAAAAAATTAAAATAACTGATGATATTTATTAGAAAAATAAATATTATTGTAGTCTCAAATTTGGACTTTATTATTTCTTATTATTAGTTTTTATTTTTTATTTTTCTGTATAAATAAATTAATTAATGATATAATTTTCGCCTCAAAGTATACTTACATTACAGTATCTTACACGTACATCTAGAATATAGCAATACTAACACTTACTTGAATACTATCCTCTGAACTTAGGTTTATATTTTCTTTTGCTTCTTTGTTTCTCTGAGCCGATAATAATTGAATTCATGTCAGATAACGTCCCAATATTTTGTTCATAGATAATGTCCCAATTAATTCTTAATTTGTATTTAATTGACACCATGTTAATCTTGTTCCTTTGTTGATTTTGTAGCAAAGGTGTGAAAAATAAACTTGGTATCTATTAGAGCATGACTATATTTTACTCCATTACATAGACCAGTTTATCTTGGCATCTCCGTAATGATACAATCTCCGTTTTTTCTCTACAAATGAAAAAACAAAATTAATTACTAATGTAAATAATCATTTTTTTACGTTCAAATGTAAAGATATGCTTAGTAAATGAACTCACCGTCTAGAGCACTAGTTTTACACAGTGCACGTGTTTTCTCGATTTCGGAGCACACCACAAACTCTAGTGTTTTTACAAAAAGTACACTTATTTTAGTCACTACCTAATAAATAGTTTTTCTAGTATTAACATTTACACACCTTTTTTTACGTATAACTGTTCTACAATATGCAAATATACTTTTTTTTTCTTTATATATTGTAGCGCCGTAACCTCTGGTGAAGTATTCACATGCAAAAATATACTCAATATGCACACAGTACAAGGGCCTTCGTACTATTCTCGACCCGTAGATGTATTATAAAGAGTGGAGCAGAGAGAATAACGAAGGCAACCATAGACATATACATAACAAGAATTGACTGCTCACTTAGACCTATTGAGCTGCTGAAGCCCAGGCAAAAAGAGATAAAGACTTGAGCGTGGGTGTATGTTTCTCTCCGATCTTCAGTTTATCGAAACACTGAATCAGACCCCTGATATGCTTTGCAGACAAATCAATTTTAGTTAGAACTCATTAATAAAGATTAATTTCAGATAGTATGTAAAATGACTCTGAACATCTCCGAGCTAGTGATAATATACATTTATATTTTTCACTGGACCAATAGATAGAGGTACACATTTCTATTAAATCGTGCAGCTAAATACTAAAGTTTGAATTCGAATTTTAAAAAATTATTTAGTAAAAAGACTAACTCAAGTATATTGCTTAGTAAAACATGTATTACTTGTAAATCTTTCCATCAACAGTTCAAAAATAATTATAATTCGTTACAGTTATTATCAGTTTTTATTTTTTTTTTAAATTAATTTCTGAGATTATGTTCAGAACGAAAAAAAAAATGATAATAGTTAATAATTACAGTTATTAAATGTTGATCAAAATAATAAATCGAAAAAATTAATGATTCTTAACACGTTCAATGAAAGAAACACGTCGCCTGGAGGAGATCTGATAAAATGCTATTTTCATTGAATTTCAGGAAATCCGGCGTCATCTGATGCTCAAACGACCCCAACAGCCGAGCATCGCTGACAAGGAGCAGGAGCCTCCACAGCAGGAACCAGTGATCCCTGGCTCCCAGCACAGGCAGCACCAGCACCATCATTCCAAGAACAGCCTAACCGTGGGTCACAACCACACGGCCCGCCATCACCGTAAGCACGACAAGACCACCACCAGCACTAGTACCAGTACCACGACCGAGACATCTTCCACTTGGCCTGTGGCGAGCTCGCAGCTTCCGGAGCTCGGGAGTACTAGGGTCCCTTCAACGGCTCGGCTCGAGGACGTGCTGCCACCTGATTTTGAGAAAACTGAGGACCCGGTGCCCCCCGTCGTCACCGCCAGACCCAAGAAAAACGGTCGGCGCCAGAGGAACCGCGAGAGCGTCGACGGAATGCCAGGAGTGCCCCCTACCGCCGAGACGGAGCGCCGCAGGAAAAATCATCATCACCACAGGCGTAAAAACATTACTCTGCTGACCAATAGTGTGCACGACGAGGTTGCTCCCGAGCCACCTGTGACCGAGGCTCTGCCAACCGATGCACTCGGGCGGGACGACCGCATGGAGGTGCAGGTTGGTGAACTTTATAATTTTTAGAAATCATAAGAGAATATAGGATTATGAATTGTACTCAATACACCTAATCTAACAAAAAGTAATTTCAACTACACAAATAATTTACGTATTTGTAAGCAATACGCCAATTAAAAAAATTAATCGTAGTACACCTTTTATATTGGATACAATTTATTTACAACACTACTTTATGGTATTTCTATTATTTTAGTATCGAAAGAACTATCACACGTTATTTTTTGTGGTTTTAACGATATGATTTTTAATAGTTTAAAAAACATTATATCCACTTAAAATACTTGTATAAAATAATACAAACAGCAATACGACAGATTAACAGCCACTTTCACTGTATAATAAATTCAAGAGCATGAATAACTTATTTGCAGTCCATTAACTGCATTTAAGTACGTTGATTAGAAAAATCTTATCGCGCCTCAGCTTCAGGAAGTCAGACGCGTAACACCGCTATTTACGATATTAATATCAATGTATGCCAGAACCGAATGATTATCGCGAATTTAAATTTAGCACATGTTTGTGCTTTATCGTGAAAAACTGGTCACATTGTTTCATGATTGAAACATAAAGTTTCAAGAGAAATAATTAATATTTATTTATATACTTATTGTTAGCCACCAAGTATATTGTATGATACATTATAATACTTAAATTTAACGAATACTATTGTGGTTAATACTATGTGTTTTTCGTAAGTTTTTCATAAGTTTGACTTAAAATACTGCAAGGAGGTATTTAATTATTCGTTTTACGCAGTGGTTATTGTAAAAGTAATTAAATAAAACAACATAAAATATTAATGAGAATTAAATAAAATGAACATTAAAATAAAATAAGGAATACTGAATTCAATAGATTTAATGTAACGTAGAAAAATATATAATTCTAATTATTTATAGACTTTTATGAGTATCTGCGAGATTGTTGTTTTTTTCTACTTGACTATGTTTTTTTTTTTTTTTTTTTATTATTAGGTAAGCGAGACGTCCCAATTGAAGAGTGGAAAGAAGAAACTTCGCACTACGTATCGGACGATTTTGATCCTGAAACCCTAGAAGGCCTTATCGGTAGCCCCTTGAACGTTGACGACGTGATGGCTAGGCATCGTCGAATACGCAGAAGTACAACTACGAAGAATGATAGTATCGAAGACGTGACTAAAATCATGAAAAGCATCGAAGAGGAGCTCGACGATCTCAAGGTGACTTTTTTTCACATTTCAATATTTTTCTCCTGTATCCTGTAGAGAAACAATCCATCACTTTTTGCCTCGTTCTCTTGCAATTTACCATTCACAACATTGCGTGTAGTAACAATAAGAATATCTGTATACATACCTGGTGCAAAAATAAGTTTTCTGAAAATTATTATTTTTTCACATGCAACTTATAGCATTGAAAAAAAAAAAAAAAAAAAAACGAATAACGTTACTGAAAGTAAACATTTTAGGCAAAGCATTCAAATCCGGACAAACACTTTACGCCCAAGTGCTCGGTGATGCCTCGCGGTAACGTCAACTGTAGCCAATCGGTTTACAAGGACCCAACCGAGTGGCGGATATCCAGAAAAGAGATCGAGCAGCAAATTCGCAGTATGAGGATGCAACTGGAGACTCTTAAAGTACGTGTAAACGAGCTGACAAGAAAATACATATTTTTAAGTTGCTATAACATACCAATATAAATCACCAAAATGCACAGCTCGAAGTTTTTAAATTATAATAAAGTCGAAAGAGTATATGTTTGATAGGCAAGTTATTGGTGCAGCTCTGAGAATCGTGTCTTTTTTTCTCAAGATCTCATGAAATTTCGCTTGGATTTTTACTAATTTAATTATTATCAATTATTTATAGAAAAAAAAATTAAATAAAGACTAATACTCATTAACAAAGTCGAGATTAGAGACTATAATATTTACCATTGATCTAACACATGTATTACTTGTAAATCTTTCCATCAACAGTTCAAAAATAATTATAATTCGTTACAGTTATTATCAGTTTTTATTTTTTTTTTAAATTAATTTCTGAGATTATGTTCAGAACGAAAAAAAAAATGATAATAGTTAATAATTACAGTTATTAAATGTTGA